TTTAGATCTTGGACATCCTGTATATAGAGAAAGACGATTAAACGTCACAACGAAAAGAATAATCAATCTTGAAATAAATTCACGCTTAAAAAAAGTTGAAAATAGTGACTTATTACAAGAAAAAGTGACTTTAGTGACTTGGCCTTAAAAAAAAAGAGACTTTTAAGTGACTGACTTGAAAAAAGTGACCAAGTCACTAAAAAGTTACCCGCTACCAGCCCTGGATATGGCGCCCACAGTATGCGGTGCAAATTCAAAGGCTAGAGGGAGTTCAGAAAGAGTTCCTGAAATTTGCCTTGAGAAGCCTTGGATGGAGTGGAAAACAATTGCCAGCATACCAAGACCTCTGCTGTCTTGTGGACCTCGACACAGTCAGTACGAGGCACAAGATCGCCGACATAATATTCTTCTGTAGCATACTGAGCGAACGGACAAGTCGAAGTCCGTTCCTCTAAGATCGGTCTAGCTTCAATACCAGTCCAGTTTCTCTTCATGGACGAAGGGTGTTTGATCCTCCGTTGAGGTCAAGAAACTACACGCAGCACGAGCCTACAAGCAGATTTATGAACAAATTCAACAGACTACAAGATGAAATTTCTATTATAAATTATTAAATAAATTTCGAAATGTGTCTCAACTAAGAGGCAGGCATATCAAGAAGACTTTAGCATGCAAAAATATCAGAGTCAATAATTTGATGAATAATGTTATTAACTGTAAGTTAAACGACCGAAACCAAAAGGCTTAGCGAAAAAAGCCTAAAAACAAGCAGTTTCGATGACTCAGCTGAGTTACAATTCCAATAAAACACATTCTAGCATAACAAGAATGTAAACCAACTTTATGAGAGTCATGGGGGCTAAGCTTCGTTACGCTCCTCTAACTGAAAAAAAAACTTGTACAACAAACTAAATCAGAGTTCCTACGTAGTTAATGAGCGATTTTTTATTAAACTGCAAACAATGAAATATCGGCTCCGTAAAGCTTACGCGATTGAACCTCCAAATAAATTAATTGAAAAAAAAATGCACAAGCATGGAGAGAACAATTGTAGGTATTCTGCCGCTCATCGTAAGTCGGTCCCATTTGCGTTTTAATCAAAACTGAGTATTTCAATGGAACTGATAGCTAATCACCTCTAGTTTCATAATACTGGATAAACTCAACAACTTTGTTCTGGAAAAGTTTCGAAACAGCCAATAAGAAGCAATATTACGAAGCGAACTTAAAACGGCTTGCTGAGACGGACTTGCCATGAGCAGCAGTAGGGGTAGACGGGGCAAGATGGCCACCCTAAGGTTGACATCATTTTTAAATGTAATACTGTAACAGGTATACCTCGATATAACTTAACTGTCACTTTTGACTTCCATCGTTGATTTTTAGCTAACAATCATTAAATCAAACAAAGTAATAAAACACTATCGGATATATGAGACAATCGTCCATCTATTGGTGATGCCAATTTATATGAATAAATTGCTATTTGTGAGATATCGACGATGGAAGTCAAAAGTGACAGTTACGTTATATGGAGGTATAATACCTGTAATTGAAATCAATACAGTCAATCATTGTCTACCCTAGATCTTTCATGTCTGTTACAATTCAATGTAATAAATTTTGGATTTTTTTTTTTAATTTAAAAAGTAACTTTCTAACACCAGTCACAGACACCCCGGGGCAAGATGAGCACCCCTGGGTGGGAAGACAGGCACCAGTAGCATAATTTGTTTTTGTATAATATTTTTAAGTTTTAAAGGACTAATATTCCTTAGTTAATCAAAACAAAATACAGGGCTGTTACAAGATTTTCTAAAATCGATCCGCGAAATCCGCGATTCCTCAAAATAAATCCGCGACTTCAAATACTAATCCGCGACAAAAAAAAACTGTTTTCATTGCCTAAAAATACCATTTGTATAATACTACATGGTATTTCAAGCTTATTGCTTATAGCATATTAGATTTTTGCCTTCTCTCAACTTAGTACTTCAACTTTCACATTTTAATTGAGAGCTTTCTATACCTGTACCATCCTATCCTCAATTTTCCAACCCCAAAAATTAATAGACCGGACGGGAATCGAACTCAGTCGCCTCCAGCATGGACCTGTTTTGTAGCTGCGTCTTTACCAACTGAGCTAAAGAAGTTTCGTTTGTAAACTTAAAAAAAAATATTTATGTATAGTATAAATTCTGAGTAATTATTTAACACCCTAACATTATGAGATTCTATTGAATAATACCGGCCTAGATTTGATGAAACATTATTTGAAAAATTTATGTATTTTCATTTGAAATGCAAATTTTCTTGAAAGTTAACCTTTGCGTCTCTGACGTATTTTGGTGCCCTAAATGTTGTAGTTAATTTGGCTCTAGTTTTCTCAATTTTTGACCGATTCAAACCAAACACCCTGCACATAATCGAGAAATTTCCAGAGTTGCATAAGTCACACTTATTGGTCACGTCGCGGTTCTGTATCTACACGGATATTCCTTGGGGTCTGCCGAATCGTATTCATGTGACTGTGTGGATCATGAACGACTTATTACTATGTATACCGGAAATTATCGGTTTTCCAAATCGTCCAGGACATCAGTTGATTTGTTCTACTAAATCAACCAAGACTACAATAATGTCTGTAGTATCAAAAAATGTCCAGTCAGATTCAAAGTGTCTATGTGGATCATTCATGATCTATTTCCGAGTAATCCAGATGTTGTAGGTTCTTCAAATCGTCCTGGAGTTCAGATAATTTGATCTACTAGATCAACCGAGATTGGGACAATGTCTTTAGTATCGAAATATTTCCAGACAAATGCACAGTGTCTATGTGGATCATGCATGAACTATTGCCATGTATACCAGATGTTTTAAGTTCTCCAAATTGTTCTGGAGTTCAGATGATTTATTCTACTAGGTCAACCATGACTGGGATATTTTTTTTTTTTTTTAATTCTTTATTAAGGTGATTCCTTGTAGAGTCCACAAATGGCCGCCACGTAGGCTATAAATGCATTTCCACCTCGAATTTTCAATTACACACATCTCGGAAATTAGAGTTCCATTTCACCTGAAATTGCTGCTGCATGTACGCTGCAGCGCAGCAAACGTGGAGTAACGGTTTCATTGTAGTACGTGTCGTGGAAGCTTATATTTGTGCACTTAAAGTTTCGAAGTGGTAGCGAGAATAAGGATCTCACAGCGAACCACCTTAAAGAGATTTTTAGCCTTAGGCTAGTTCATCTCTAAGGGGCTGGGATAAAGTCTGTAGTATCGAAATATTGTTTGGATTCATAGTCTCTATATGGATAATGTTTAATTATTTTCACGTATACCAAATGACTAGGTTCTCCAAATCGTCCTGCACTTCAGATGATTTGTTTTACTAGATCAACAAAAACTAGGATAATATCTGTAGTATCGAAATATCGAATTGGAAATCCTAGAACATTTGGCATACACGGAAATAGGTTGGCATGATCCACATAGACACTGCAAATTTGTTTGGGCATATTTCGATACTACAGATATTGAATTAGTCTTGGGTGATCAAGTAGAAAAATAATCTGATCTCCAGAATGATTTTAGAACCTATAACATCTTGTATACGTAGCAATAGGTCGGGTACAATCCACATAGACACTTTGAATCTGTTTGGACATATTTCGATACTACAGACATTATTGCAGTCTTGGTTGATATAGTAGAACAAATCAACTGAACTCCAGGACGGTTTGGAGAATCTAGAATATCCGGTATACATGGCAATTAATCATGTTTTGTTATTTTTGACATCATCCACATCCAGAGGGCCAGTCACTTCGAATATATGGGAATGGTAGGAAACCATTTGGAAATGCATGAAAATTTTCAGTTTTTATTCATTACCGTCTTTATGGGCAGTTTTAGATGCACAAAAATTGCACGAGTACAAAACTATGTTGATAAGGTAAACACTCGATTATTTGTTTCCTTCTGTAAAAGCATGTTTGGTCACAAATCGTGGATTTTCTGATATTCTCCATACTGCAAAAATGATTTTCCTACCACTGAAGGGGCGACATCTCTCGGATCTCAGTATAGCTACTACTCAAATCATATAATTAATTACTCGTATATATACGATTCGTTTATGATTTGACAACGAAAAATGCTATGTTCATATTGGAAATAAAAAAAAAACATGATAATGTCTCACATTGGACAAACCTCAGGGAATTTCCGTGTAAATCCGGTATGACTTATGGAATTAAGATCATTTCTAGATTATTTGCAGGGTGTTTAGTTTGAACCGGTAAAAAATTGAAAGCCAAATGAACAACAAAATTTATGACAGCTAAATAGGTAATACGGGACGGAAAGGTTACAATGAATTCCACAATTTGTGTGACAGTACATCATTCAATTCGCTATTTTCGCGACATCATTTAATGTTTCCGCGATTTTCGCGACTGAAACTTCAAATCCGCGAAAATCGCGATATCCGCGCCTGTTGTAACAGCCCTGAAAATACCAGTACCAGATTGAAACATTAATTGAAAGTTATTAATGTGTTATTAATTATTGTAAATTCTTAATACAATAGAAGGATTATTTTATCGGTCGGCACCTTTTTTTAAATGTCTTGGTAGTTATTGAATATTTCTAAATCATTTTTGGAACGCTGCATTCTAGAATCATTGTTGTAAGGTACGTATGAGCAGTTTTCAAAAATAAAAGATTTGTAATGTAATGTAATGAGCACCCTTCAACTCAATTAGCCCCGGGTGGCGATCTTGAACGGCTACCCCTATTGCAATTACAACTAAGATTTACTTTCAAACTAGGTGCCTATCTGAGTAAATATATTCTGAACTTCAACGGAAACTTTACTATCATAAATGTTAGTAACTAAGTATATCACATGCATACAGTCAACTCGAGGTTAACACCCACAACCAGGGATGCAAAACATCCTTTAAAACAAGATTAAATAGGTTTAAAAATGTACTCACCTAGTGTACACTGGCACGAACCATAGCTTTCGGTCGTCCCCGAACACTTCTCTAAAGTTGTTCAGCTTCCCCAGGCTGAATCCGTTCTTGTCCGGCCCACCGTACCGGAATATCGGCGTTCGGAATGATTCTACAACAAACAAGAAATCAATTATTATCAGATGATAAAAAAAAAAAAAAACAAACAAGAAAATCCCTACCTAAAGTGGTCCTATTGAGCAGCACCAGATAGCAGTGGTACCCGAACAAGCTAACTAAACTGATGGCAAACATCAGCGAAACGAAGAACAGAAACAAAATATGGAACCGCCCGTCCACTTTGCCCTGGAAAGAAAAGTTTAATGCTCGTAAACGCGCTCTAAGCTGGATGCAAACCTCACTTCTTGTCCACTCACACTCCAGATCATCTCCATGTACATGACCGTCGTGAAGGCAATGTACAAACAGTACACCAGTGCGTACCCGAGGAACAGGATGAAGTACTTGTAGTTGGTGAAGTTGATGCAATTGTTCACCCAGGGGCAGTGATGGTCCAGCTTGAGTACGCACACGCCGCACACGCTGCAGTGGTGGGCCCGGTCCGGTTTGATCAGGCGGCACTTCTCGCAGAACCGAACCGACGCGTTGAGGGTACGCGTCACGATCGGTAGCTCCTTGGCGAAAGCTTCCAGGATTTGCTTCTGCTCTTCCTCGCTCTGGGCTCGCAGCAGCCGATCCAGCTCGGAGCGGGGCACGCGGAACTGCGGGTGGGGTGGGAAGAACAACAGTCATGAGTGTGTAAATATTAAGTTTACTTCCGTAGTGATAGTGTGGCGCGATAATGAACATCAACACACCAACAGGCGTTCTCTGTGAGCTAAATATTTTTCGACTGTCAAGCCATCGAAATGCTTTATCTTATCAAAAATTAAAGTTGACATAAACCCTTGCCGCTTCATTAAGCTTTCATCGTTCGCCGTCCCGGCTTGGCTTTTCGTTTCCGAATCTTTTTTGTGGTTCTTCCATTATGAAGGTGGGGCGGCTTATGAATCATGCATGGTATCGTAAACTTGTGGCTATTTCTGTACTTACTCTGGACGGAACGCGGCCAATGTCGGTGAATACGGTCTGGTAGTAGGACCACAGGAACATGATCAATATCAGATGATAGAACAACAGGAACAGTATCCTCTGTACGATGCTGGTCACGGTGACTGTGTGGGTGGTGTGAAAGAGAGAGAGAGAGAGAGAGAAAGGTAAAACAAAGAAAGTAAAATACCTAAAAACAGCATATGCATAAAGCATCGCAAAACAACATGTTTTTATAATTAGCCTACTAGCCGGAACCGAATGGAAGAAATGGCACCCCCCACAGCACATGTGAGCGAGGTGAAAAACCGCGATCGGAGGCAAACATGAATGGTAAAAACAGATTGTTTCATGGTCTGTTTGGTAGGATGTCACGTTTTTCGTTTTTTCATCGAGCGGCAATTACATGCATATTGTGGTGGAAAATGTTAATATACCTAGTGAGGTGGTGCCAGTGCACAGTAGCCGTAATTGAATTGTGTATAAACTATTGACTAAATCAAAAAATTGTCTTCAGAGGAATTGTGTATCGCCCACAACCCTGGAATTTCAAAAATTTATCATGGCTCATGTAAAGTAAAGGAGAAATCTTTGGTTTGTTTTGGTTAGGTAGGTTCCGATTCTACACATTGTAGTTTCCTTTTTTAGACCTGTGATCTTGACATTTTTACCTAAGGGATTAGTACTTAAGGGGGTCAGATTTTGATAAGTCTGTAGAGGGATTGACACTGATGAAGACTGCACATTGTAGTCGAAATACGTATTTGTCATTGATACCAAAATCGAAGATAACATTATTAGCTGTTTTGTTTAAGCATTCCGTTAACAACCCAATTTCATTGCTTCATTATTTAGTGAAACCAAGGGGTAGGTAACGGTTGGTCACTCCACACAGTGTGCCAAAAACAAGCTTGGGCACACCTCACCTGGGCACCATGGTTACAATTTTTTCTGATCTTTAAATTTACTGGCAACACTGAACTTTTTCCACCGCCCAACCGACATGACACTTAATTCTGACCCGAAAATCGTTAACGACCGATTTAAATGTGCAGTGATCCGAACTGTCAAAACCATAGGATTTTTTTAAATCTAGATAAAATAATTTGTCCAGAATAGATCAGACAAGAACCAATTCATAACTTTTGCATTCGGGTTCATATTTCCCACGAACACGGAGCCAGATGTCACTAATGTGCTTTGATCAGAGATTTTATTGTTTTTGTTATGGTCATTCATGGCGGCTTGTCGGTGCTTTTTCTGAGCCAGCGTATCCACAACCGTAAATCTCCACCAGTTTCGCCTAAATCGAATTGTCAGGCGCACATCCTGACCGAAGAAGAAGGTACATCACTTCGCGCCGGACTGCGTACAATCATTTTATTTATTTATTTGTCGTCAATCAGTGTAGACCGTTTTACAATAGTTCTGTTGCCTTACATGCTATTTAAATTCAAACGTTTTATTTGAAATTGTCAATAAATGTAAATTACATAATATGTAATACATTAGATACAAATATCTAAGAAATAAAAATTGTTTAAACATAACGAGATGAAAGCCTAGCAGCTAGTGTTCTCCTTACTGTATCTTATCTTACATCGTTAGATCTATACACTCACAATAATTATTATAAACTCTCATCATTCTGTTGATTGGTCCATTTTTACCATAATTCGTTCTGTGAGGTGACAGTTGAAATACATTTCGAGTTCTTAACATGCGTGATGGTACGTAAAAATTTAAGCTTGCTAATATTTTTTCTGAATTTACGCGTTGTGAGATAATATCATTAACAAAGGAAATCATGGAAATTTCTCTTCGTTTCTTAAGTGTTTCAATGTTTATCAACATGCAACGGGACTCATAAGAAGGAAGGGGAAAAGAGGTCCAGCCTAGTTTCCTAAGAGCAAATAACAAAAACTGTTTTTGAACTGATTCTATACGATTTATATAAGTTTCATGATATGGAGCCCAAACCACACTGCAATATTCGAGAATTGATCTCACGTATGCTATATAAAGTGTTTTGATGGTATATGGGTCTTTAAAATGATAACTAAATCTTTTTATGAATCCCAACATATTATTTGCTTTGTGAATTGTGGTATTCACATGATCTACAAATGTCAACTTCGAGTCTAGAATTACTCTTAAGTCCCTAATTTTATCGCACCTTACAACCAGCTGGTTTCCTAGCGTACATTCCGACCACCCAGCATGAAAAAATCAGGGTCATCGCTTGCACATCAATACTCGATGAACATTTCAAATGGTCCTATCTGCTTTGATCGATTCTCTTCATCGACTTTCTCTATGCAAACAGATTTCGCGCTAATTCTACCACATAGTTTGATAAAGGAGGTTCTTATCTAGCGTCCAAAACGTCAAATACAACAGGGAAAGGTTTTGCAGCTGAGTTATTGACGAAAGAAATTATACTCTACAATCAATCCCAAATTTTGCATCAGTCTAATGAGCATTTCTCTTGTAATGAGAAATGCTCATTAGACTGATGCAAAGTTTGAAATTTTCGCTCCACAGTGCTCAAACGGTTTCAAATCAGGTCCTGATTAGCCTCCCAAATTTTAAACTCATTTGATAAAGAACTGACTTGGCACAAACTATTCGATGTTTATATGGAAATTACTATGGGAAAACCAAACTTTTTGTTCATTGTCTTCTACCCATTTTCCATATTGCTTTTTCGAAAATTTCTATAACTATTCTTACGGGAAATTTTCTAAGCTACAACTTTGTGGAATATTGTTTTTCAGGCAAATGTCAAAATAAATTGTTATTAATTGTTCAAGAGATTGATAATCTTATGGCATGATCAAGCAGCTGTTCTGTGGGCAACACTGTATTCTGCAGTGTGACATAGTACACTGAAACAAAATCCATTGGAAAAAATACTATATTGCTGGTTTAAATTAAATGCCTTCACCAATAGATTTTTGCAGAAAACAATTTCATTTAATTGTACTATTATTTCTATCATAATTACTACGCATTTTGAGCAAGCATAGTAGTTATGCCAAAATCATAGTAAATTCGTTAACATTCATAGCCAACTATACTGAATTAATAGTAGATTTAACGGTAATAAGCGTAGTTATATTGAAAATGAGTGTTTTCTGCAAAACAGTATTCCTAACTATGGTCCTTGTTTCAGTGCAGCCATAGCCATGATATTTTTGCTCTATTCTTCGCACCAGAAACACCAATGTTGCCTGCTGAACAGTTGAATGAGCATAATCATAAGACATCAGTGAATTGAATCATTAATAACTTTTGTTTCTTACATTTGATCGAAAAGTGGGTTTCAACAAAGTTGTAGCTGAAGGAATTTGCTACAATCACTGTTATCATTTTTAAAAGCATAGTGATGTGGTGAATTGTTAGATACATATGAACAAAAATATATGTTTTTTTCATAGTAATTCCCATATAAACTTGAAATGGTTTGTGCCAATTCAGTTTCTTACTAAAGTAGTTCAAATTTTGGGAGGCTAAGCAGGACCCAATTTGGAACCGTTTAAGCACTGTGGAGCGAATATTTCAAATTTTGCATCAGTCTAATGCTCATACATGATAGTTTATCATCCTAACCCTCGACAAAGTTCTCATCCCTCCCGGGCTCATTATATCCTACAGTTAAATAAACAAAATTGTTAAACACACTCCCGTGACGGCAGTCCCGTCCACATTTCCGCCTATCTGAACTCTATCCGTTCATTAGTTGAACAGAAGACAAGGAACAGCTGACAGCGGTGTTTGAGTTTTAGTCGGAAAGACAACATCCAAACACAAAATATACCATCCGACCTCGCTTCTGACTGGAACTGCTCGAAGACATACCATTCATGGCGGAGGCTGCTACGCCAGCCATCCCATTGTCGAACATAGAATGTTGCACGATCATCTTGGCAAAATCCAACCCGCAACGAAAAACTACAAGGGACAGCCCTATGGGGTTGTAAGCAATGGTGACTTGGACTTGGTGAATTGGACTACGTGGTCTTATATAATAAATCTTATTTGTTAACTGCAGCTTGTGTTTTGTGTAGGAATAGGAATTTGAGCGGGGTGCTCTCTGTTTATACTATTTAGTATGACGCGCTTGGCATAGATGGCCCCCAGCGACTCACTAAGAGCTACTGATTCCAATCAATAGCGGTGCGGCTTCTTTCTCTTTCTATGGATACTCATGTGGGCTGCAGCTCACTGCTTGCAGGCAGCCTTCCGTTGTGTACTGGAGAACACCACCACTCACCACGCGGTGATTGAATAAACACCGTTTGGTGAGACCGGATGGAATTCAACTTTGAAATCTGTGTTAGGGAAATTGATTTTCGCAGGCAATCGGTGATAATATTAATTATCATAGCAATTTTCAATAGTGACATTTTGAAAAATGATAAAGTGTTAATTTTAACAGATTCGTAGAATAAAATTCCTATCGATTGGCGTGTTAAGAATTAAAATCCATCATCTCTGGATCAGAATCAGACCACTTTCATGCCGCGACCGACTTTGGTTTTAGAAAATGCACCCCCAATGTTGCCTTAAAGTACATGTTATGTTAGATTTAAACATATCTAGATAGAGCTGGAGTTAGGCGTAACAGCTTTTATAAACAATGACTTCTCTCGATGATTTTTAAGAATTCAAGGCACGCCAACGCAAACCATCATTACCATCGGGTAGGGGAAGTCTTTCCCTACCTTATGGTAATGTTGATTTGCGTGGGCGAGCCTTGACTTTCAAGATATCATCGAAAGAAGTCATTGTTTACAAAAGCTGTTACGCCCTGATTTCAGCTCTATCTTAATATGGGAACTGACATCCGATTGATGACCTTGACAAATGTTCAAAAAATACTCTTTTACAAACTTATGGTGGTCCTGAAAAGGATCGTTTTGTCGTGATGGTTGAGTAATGCTGAGCTATTAGGGTGTTAAACACAGATGAGGCTGGTGAGCTGTATGTTGTTTGGAATGAGGGTGAAGCGCTCTGGATAGATGGCCCACAGCGACTCACGAAGAGCTACTGATTCCGATCAATAGCGGTGCAGCTTCTTCCTCCTTCTATGGATGCTCATGTGAGCTGCAGCTCGCTGCTT